AAAAAGATGGTGGTTGCCACCCAGGATCAAACTGTGTGCACTGCCGGAGCGCGGAATGCGGGTGGTGCCGGTGGTGTTTGCAGATCGCTCTTTCACCAGCACGGGGTAGAAGACATGAGAGGACGGCTCCGCGTTTCCGACGAGTGGCCAGGCTATAGGCGACGTGACCAGGCTCGGCCGTGCGCAGGAATACCACGATTACAAGGCGCAGGGCCGCTTGGTCCCCGATGGCACGAACGTGACTCGGCAGAAATATGCAGAGAGACTTCGACTCCCAAACATCAGGTGTCCAACAATCACTGGACCAATTCCGAAACTGCGGAACTCCCAAGAATGCAGGCTCTCTCTTGGCAGAACTTCTTCCGAACAAAATATCTCAATCCACACTTTCCATCTTCGAGCCTGGCTTACACTTCCACAGCAACCATGCAAACAAAAGTTACCTTTTTCATCCTTCTTCTATCACTCCGCACCAACCAATCCCCCCTGTTCGGGCGCTTCTGCTCTCCGCGGCGCCCACGTGGCGTCCACGCCTTCTCCCGCTCTTGGCAGGTGCGGTGGCTCTCCAGCCGCGGCCCCTTGTGGCGCCTCATTGGCCGGGAGAACGCCTGAGCAGCGAGCTGCAGTCGAGCACCGCTGGAGCACGGTGAGACGACGGAGAAAAAAGGGGTCCTCCGATGGGGGGCTGGTGGAAGGAGCTGGAATCCACAGGTGGCTGGGGAAATCGATGTTTTTCTTGAAAGCAACGGTGGCGGGTGTTTAGAGATGGTTTGGACTTTTGGGCTCAGGGTGTTTTAGGGGGTTGTAGTAGGTTTCTCAAATTCATTGAGTTAGGAAATATATGGAAATGTTAGAGGGAGTTGATATGGAAGCCCTGACAGAATCTCTTGTCTTGAGGGGCAGTAGTTGGCCAATGCGATCAACACGCGGGAATGCAGTTCAGAACGATTCCGGAGGATCAGAGCTTTCAGTTCATACACTATAGTTCTGTCAAGGGTTTTCTCTATCCAGTTTCCCACTATCTGGCCCGTGTGCTATAATTGAATAGTATAATAATGAGGCCAGACAAGTGGATATGGGCTTGTTGGTCCATTAGAAGTATCATGTTTGGGCAGCCCAGCGGCCCTGCGGCCAAGGAATGATGACGGAGACAGATGACGAGCTGGCTGGAGAGCTGGTGACTCGGAAGGGGGGATTCGGGACATGGCTGGCCCCTGTATGGGGCCCTTCAAAGCCATCAATGAGGACCAGATGATCACTATGGTGTGTCCCGGTTTTCCACTTCTTGAGGGGCCTAGTGCACTTTTGCATAACTCAAGGAGTTTTTTTTATTTTTAAGTTTGTTTCGATGGTCCCACTAGCTTGAGCCATCTTGAACCCAAATGACCTGTCAGAGATTGGTGGGCAAGGGAAACTGTATTGATAAGCCGAGACAAGTGGCATGCACCGGCCGTTGTCCTAAAGATTTTGACCCGAGCTCGAGACCATACCATACCACTGTACTACTCTCCAGCCTGACATAGACAATCATAGACATCAACTCAACCGAACTCTGTCCATGTCCAGTTCCCTTGACCCTCCTTTCTGGCCGTTCCAAGGAGATGACCTGCACCATGTCCGAGAACCTCGCCGGCTTCCGCAGCCGCGGCATCGGCGGCAACGGCGGCACCGCCTCGTTGGCGGTGAGTGCCTTGCGGAGCCCCACGCAGTCCATGCACTTGGAGCTGCCGGAAGACCGACCCTCCTCCGGTGGGGTGGGCCGAGAGTGGTCGGTGATCGGATCCATTTGGATTGAAAAACCTTTGCATGTTTGAGAGCTATTGAGAGCTGTTATTCATCAACAGATCGGATTCTAATGCATGTTAGTTCGGATCCATGTTGATCGGTGATTGGATCCTTTTTACAATATGCATCAAAAGTCACATCCATTTCGTAGGGAAGAGTTGGGAAGACCGGTCCTTGACCGATCAAGGGAGGGCTTGCAGCGCGAAGGTGCGATGCATCAGGACCAAGAACAGGCCGATTGACCCCACACGTCGTAGACGACGCTCCCACTGGGTGGCCGTCCGACGCTGGACCTTCCGGAAGGACACTCAAGGACCCAGTCACCCTACAAAACGTGAAGGTGTTGAGGGCATTTGAGAGCCCCGTCGCCCGGACGTTCCTTCACTTCCCGGAGCCGCGTCGCTCGCGTCGCTCGCTGCCCGCGTGACCCGCCCTCGCGTCGGGGCGGGACGAACTCGACCACGTCAGGCCGCGAGCCCTCGAAAGAGTCCAAGGACACGCGCAGAGAGTCCAAAGAGTCCAAGGTGCCCCGGGACCGTCGCCGCTTCACCGCACGGCTTTCACGCCCCGAGATTCTGGCAAGGCATCCGGCTGCATGGCCTTTTCGCGGGCCCAAAACGTGAGTGGAGTCCCGATTCTGGGCCCAAAAAACGTCACCTTGGGTGAGTGGAGCGGTTGCTGGTCCGTTTAATGTAGACTGTTGATGAATCAAACCCCCCATACCAGAAGGGCAGAAGGGCTTTTCATCCCCATACCTAGATCCACCTGGTGGACGAAAGAAGTGCCGCTTTCCATTGTGGCAACAAAAATTGCCACCAGAGTGGAACATTGCCGTTATCCAAAAGAACGCCACCAGACAAACAGAATGCCACATTCCATATATGGGGAAGGATGGTGCGTGTCTCCTCCACACCAGGCTCAAAGATACTCAGTTGGATAGAAGTTGGAAAAGTGCCTCATACGAAGATCTAGGGGCAGTTTATTAATCAGCATATATGCACTAATTACTTATGTATAGTTTTATTGGTTTGTTTGTCAATTATTATATATATTATATATTGATGGCCGGCCAGGCCCGGCAATCAGGGCTTGTAAAGATGGTTTGCTGCTAAGGGGACTTGATGTTGATGGGCTCTATCTTGGGCCAATCTCTTTGGCGCTTTCACCACTGCAGGCGCCGGATTTGAGCCCTGCGTCCCGGAAAGCCAACGGCCTGCTACTGGGTTGTTATCGGGTGAGGGGAATGGTCAGATCCCAAGGCCATAGGTTGTAGGTGTTTGTTTCTTGACCATAATGCCATCGGACATTCATCTTGCAATTATTTAATGACACTAATTTGATCAAAACAACAGAGTTGCCGCACCTGTGCTTTTTCCTGTGCTTTCCTGCAATTATCAAGACACTGTGTAATTTGTTCCAAAGGAATTCAAAGTGGTGACCGACTTCAGAGGATCCAGGATGAGCCACAAGCAGTCAGGTGCCTGGCCGGCCCTGGCCGGGCCAAGTGGACAAAGCAGTGAGGTGGATGAGAGAGGAAGCACCAATTGGTTGAGACGACCCATGGGCAAGAACAATGCTTGCCCCACTTAAGTGGGAAGGGGGGGGGTGGGCGGCCGGAAAGCAACAGGAGTACTATGTAGACTGTTGATTTTGAAAACCGTACAACCAGAATGGTTTTAGCCAAAAGAGGGGCGTTGATTGTGAAAGTGTGGACTTGTGAGCGATGTCGCGAGCTCGACATGTCTGT